TTTATTCAATTTAATATCAAAATTTAGCATTTTCTCACAGAATTCATATTTAAGCTTTCCGGCTACGTGCCCGGACTGCGCACACAAATCGAGGCAACCCCAAATGAGGTTTTCGAGGCCTCAAAAGCACGGAATGAATAAGAAAACAGGTGATGACCCTTTGGGTCGTCACAAACACCTTATTTTTACTACACTATTTTATTATAATTATTTCTACTATTATCATTAGTATAAGTAATAATATTAATATTAGTATTAGTGTTATTATCATTACTATTATTATGAGCATTATTATTATTATTATTGTTATTAATAGAATTATCGTAACTAATATTGTTATTACTTTGATTTTTATTAATATCTATTTAATATTATTTGTCACACATATATAGTATATAGATTTAAGTTTTAGTACAATAAAGTTCAAAAGAATTAATTTGAAGTTGAAGATTTAAAAATCCGACCAAAACAAAATGCCCATCTAATAACCCATTTGATGCCAAATTCTGGCCCAAGCAGACAGCCCAAACGTCAGCTAATCCCTAAACCCAAACCCAAGAAACAAAAGTAAGTCCAAGCGGCCATTTTCCTCGCCAATTTCATCAGTAGCCATGGTAGAAATTTGCTCGCCAATTTTGGGGTAAGACTCTTGTCTCTCTCACAAAATAACTCGCGACTCTTCTCTCTCCTCTATCTTCAACAGATCTTCTGCCGATCTTCAAGACGATCTTCTGCCGATCTTCAAGGACGATCTTCTGCATCATCAAGTAAGATCTTCTGCCGATCTTCTGCCATGGAAATAATTACCGCTCAATATAGCCTCCCAAGGAATCCTAAAGCTTTAACTCGGGTAAAATTGCTCCTTTATTTCTTCCATTTTCTTCTCGATTTGGATTTTCAGAAATTATAGGTAATGCTTTAACACTTGACTGNATCTCCCCTTAGCATGTCTCCCCTCCCATGTTGTTAATTACTTGGTATTCGATTTCCGCTGTAGATTTATAACTGCACAGGTTTATGTGATGTCCAGTCTAGCCTCGTCACTACTTCGCCGGGGTTAGGCTAGACACTTACCAGCACATGGGGTCGGTTGTGCTGATGCTACACTTCTGTGCATTTTTGCACAGGTCCAGGTTTTGAGGAGCAGCAGCAGCAGTAGTTCGGGAGCAGACTTTCCTATTCACGAGACTGAGGTAGCCTTGCAGGCGTCCGCAGGCCTGGCGTCTCTTCTTTATGTTTTCCTTTTGACTGTTGCCTCATTGTTTTCGAGACAGACAGCTGTTATATTTCTTTCAGACCTTTGTATTTAGTTTATTCTTAGTGGTTCGTGAGTAATGTGACACCAAATCTTGGGTAGAGGCTATTGTTGACTATTCCGCATTTTGATTCAGACTTAGAAATTAGACTTCCGCTATTATTATTATTAAATTCCATGTTTCTTATTGATGCTATGGATTGTTAACAGATTTATTTATTAATGAAAGGTAAATAAGTTGGCTTGCCTAGCTACCACGAGTAGGCGCCATCACGATCCCGATGGTGGGAAATCCGGATCGTGACAAGTTACCACTCAATATAGCCTCCGAAGGAATCCTAAAGCTTTAACTCGGGTAAAATTGCTCCTTTATTTCTTCCATTTTCTTCTCGATTTGGATTTTCAGAAATTATAGGTAATGCTTTAACACTTGACTGACATTGTTAGGAAAGGTGCTCACTTTAACCGTAACAAAAGAAGTCTCAAGACAAATACTTTTGACTCTTGAAAAGCAAATTGGACATCTAATTAATATAATTCCTCTGTTTTGTTTTCCTTCTAGCTGCCTTCATCTTTTAATTTTCTTCCCTACTTTTTTTTGTTGGTAAAAAGTGTGAAAATTAATACACTACTTTATTATATGAAATATCTCTGTTATATTCATTATTTATACACTTGTGGTTATTAAGAGCCGTATTTTTCCAAAGTATAACAAAAGGTCATCTTAAACAATAGCCAAGAGTAACACTATGTTTGGATCATTGTTCCCCATCGTTTTATAATGTATTGTATTATATTGTACTGTACTGTATTGTATCGTTTTGATGGATACAACGTTTGGATAGACTGTATCATTTGCTGTTGATAAATAACATCTTTATTGTTTGGTTTGACTGTACTGTACTGCTAAGTTTACTAAAATACCCTCAATTATTTTAAACAAGATATAATATAGAAAAAACAAATGTACAAACATACTAAGACGGGTATTTTCTTTTTATATATAGGGAGTTACTAAAAACAAATGTACGAATATATATAGGGAGTTATAAAATTTGTGTTGATAATCTTGACGATCCTTATCAAAAACTAATTTTTTTTTTAACTAGCGATTAACCAATAATGAATACCTAATGTAAATTTTAATTAGTTAAGCTAGTGAATCTCTGATACATAACATACACTAAGGATAAAACCAAACAGACAACAACAAAAAAATTTCTAAGGGTAATTTTTTTCTATTAATTATGTGTTGCTTGTGTAAAGATTTGTTTTAGTAGCAGCTGAACCGGGTTTAACAAGTATTTTGTCGCTAGGTAGAGGAAGTTCGATAACAAAAGGAAGAAAAGAGATGAAACCTGTAAAAATTTTGTTGGAAAGAGACGATACGTCGTTGACTTGTTGCACCGTAGAAAGATTATGGAGACAAAGTACTTATTAGTTTGGTGAATATAATATAAATAATAGGGTAAAGGGCAAAATTGAAATATAGAATAATAAGTGTGGGCGTAATTGGAAAGGAAAATACGGAACAATCCCACCACACCGATTTTGTTGTTTCATAAAATGAGGTTTTTCACTGTTCCGGAACAATGAATTTAACAATACGATACAATCAGTTTATATTAACAATCAAAACAAACATTGTATCTGGGATAACAATACAATACAATACAACCGGAAACAACCATCCAAACAACGCGTAAGAGGGATAATTTAAAACAATAGCTAATGTTTATTTGATAATTGGAGTTCACCCAATCCAAGTTGAAGCTTAAAGACAATAAAAAATAATACTTCAGCATAAACGACCCAAAGTATGATAATAATATAGAGGGTAAAATCAGAATATTTTGTCCAGTAGAAGTCTAAATCTGGACATTGATAAAATAAAACCAGAGAAAAGTAGAAAAGTGAAAAAACTCTTATGCATTCTGACTTGTACTCAGGAACTAGTTGAAAGCTTGTAATATTTTGATATCTGCAACTTGTCTCCTACACTTGATAATGAAATAAGAAATACCCGTTTTCCGGATCATACATATTTTTCATCTAGGTAAAGCTTTCAAAAGTAGAATTAGTTATGTGTTATTATTGACTAAGTTTACCCTGTTGCATACTACTTTGTTGACAATATGCAGCTTTCCTGCTCAAGAAAGTTCTGTTATTCCAGAATGATATCATTTTCGGCACCTTTGAGTTAGTTAAACAGTTAAGCGCACAAGTGTTAAATGCAAAATGAAGATAGACATTAGCTGATTAGCATACGTATGCATGATATGTGTTGAAGGTCTGATAATGGTGATGGGAGAGAATAAAACCAATTTCCTCTGTGTATCTCCTAAGTTTTCGTTCCGGTCAATATGGTGGCATAGTTATGATTTGTGTTTCTACACCAAAATGGCTACCAAGAACGCAAAAAATAGACAGAGAGAGAAGATGGAATTTTTTAAAGTAAAGACAAGACAGTTTTACAGATGGGACGACCAAGAAACGAATGATAGAGTTAAAGTAAAGACAGTTTCATCACCTACAATCATACCTATAGGATTGTAATAAATATTGTGTGTTTGTGTCCAACATGTTAGCATGAATATCTTAATACCTATTCTTCTAGGATTTGTGTAGAAATAGTAAGAATCGAATGATAACGTGTCATCGGCATTGATTTGATAGAACTAATATGACTTCGTGTTAACTTGAGCTTCATTTAGCAAAAATGCTTGTTGAGTCAAGTTAATAGTTGGATGTTAACCTCACATACTCAGTTTAGCTTTTAACCTCTTTTATCCATGTTATAATAAATGACTGTTAAATTAGAAACCATGTCCTTAAGGTTTTGAATAAAGAGCTATCACTGTTTAGGGTTAATGATGCATCTTTAATTTCTGAGTTTGATGTTACAGGGTGGTGTTTAGATTATAAAGTTTAACAGTATGATCCCTGAATATGCTTAGAGTATGGTACTGTCTTTGTGTGATTACGCTCAAGTAATCTTACGTAATATTTTATATTCAATATTTATATCGTCACTACATTTCGAATCACTTCTCTAATCCTTTATTTTCTTTTCCTTGCGTGGCATATACAGCGGAGTTGCGAGGATTCTCTTTTCTAGACTCAATAATGCTGCCCGGCCCGATACCAGCATTCGTCTTCATTCTTCCTCATCTGCGTCTCTTGCCCTCTCAAAATACATCTCAACAAAAAGCTAAGAGAAGAAGATGGAAAACACTCTGCTATAGCTTTTTCTCGTTTATTTGTTGTGTTTTCTTTTGGTGCTATTCGTACCTGTATAGTATGCTATAGTTAAGAATTATATTTATTCGGTATATGGGTATATAGTAAACTGGTATGTAGCTGAGAGTTAGATGAATCTGTCTAAGCTCAAAACACAAGTCAGTTAGGCTTGAAACATGTTTCTTATAAATATAATAGTAAAAAATTAAATTGAGACATCTTGAAATTCTTTAAAGTTAAAGGACGTTTTTTCTAAAAAATGGGGTTCTTGGTCAAGATATTATTGGTTGCATGGTTTTGTTTAAGTTAACATGGTTTGGAGCTTTTCTGTATTTTCCTGGAATCAAAATATATTCTTATATATTACTATTATAGAAGAGCCCTAAAGCAAGCTGGATACCGCCGACATCACTGCTTGCCGACACCGTGTTTTCTCTCTTTTCTCAAAAAAGACACGTGCGTTAACTTTGCTGAGTAGGCTTCACTGTGATAACTAGGCATAGCACCATATTTCAAGCGTTAATCACCAGATTTCATCTTATTTACTCTGTTTCATCGTCTTTCCCCACTGCGCTTCTTCTCCAATCGTAGTTTTCTCTGCTCTATCGTCTTTCCTTGCTGTACTTCTTCTCCAACAATTCTCGATTTCTTTCCGGGATTCTTTTCTGTGAATATCAATATTTCTGGTGAGTCTTTCTGTAATATTGCCCTTTTTCTGTTTGCTTTGCTTTCTGTTTTTTCGGTTTTTATTGAGCATATATCTATATAGTTGAAATTGTTTGTGGTTCTGTTGGTTATTGAATAGACCACTGAAGGGTCTTTCTTTGGGTTCCTCAATGTATTATGGTCAAATTTGATTACATCTTGTACAGATTGAATTGGTACACTTCTAATAAAACTCATATGATCACTGAAATTGCAAAAGTGTGTGGGATAGATTTCCAAAGAAAATATTTATTTTATTTTGCTTCAAAATAGCCGCGTCCGAAGGTAAAACTTTGGGTATCGAGGCATCGAAAGGTAAGCACCACTGTATGATAAGATTCTTCTTGAATGGTTGCGTGTCTCTTTGTTTGTGCCCGAGTGAGTACTTTACCGATGCCCACAAGCTGTTTGTTTTTCCGCCTCTATCAATATCAATGTCGTGAGCTTACTTTTAAGGACGGCTATATGAAACCTTGAACGTAGGATCAAACTGGAGAATTTATCCATTCAGAGGCTAAAGTAAATTAAGAAACATCATAATCATCATGAACTAACAAAAAAATATCATCTTTAATATCAGTCATTATTAAATAAATTGAGAAAACTTGACATGATCAAACTAGCTTCTGCCTTTTGCTTGTTTAGGCGTGTATAATATCCTCTAAGAACTTTATTGATGTACTAGATGAGGAAAGGCCCGTATACGGGCCCAACATTGTACTCTTAGTCAATTAATTTTTTGATGAATAAATCGATCCTTGTTATATTCATTTAATCACGGATAGATGATGATATTGGTAATCACAATTTATAATTTATTTATTTTAATAATTTACTTAAAATTAAACTATAAATTATAATCTGTTTAAGTTGCTCCAATTAACATAAAATAACTACGTGCTATAATACTCATTTTTAACATCCATATCAAACATTAAAAAAATCAAATTGAAAATTTAATTTTAATGGTATTATTTTCCCGATGTATTTGAATATTTTATAAGAGTATACATTAAACCTACAGGTGTCATCTATATTAACAAATTTTATAGAATAAGAAGCTTTTTTTTAACCAATCTATCTGTAAACTATTCTTGAATACATCTAAATTGGGTTCGCAATAGTTTTAACAGTGGGAACAATCAGCTACTTGATGAAAGTTAACATGAACAACATTATTCTTTACAATACGCTAAAATATGAAAAAAAATTACCATGATTTTATTTCATGTCTTGTATATAACAAAATCAAGAGAAATATTTAGTACTGTAAATAAAAAGAACTTCCAAGGGGACTTGCATCCCTAAAGACGCAATTTACTACTTCAAACAAAGAAAACCAAAGGCACTAAACAAATATTAACCTGATATAAATGGTAGTGATTCAATATAGTAGTTCAAATTATATTTTATTATAACTCGTTTAAATGATGTTAATTGGTGATAAGGTATTAAACATTCAATAGAAGTCGATATAAATTATTATTGGGCTTTTAATTTTTTCTTAATTAAGGAGATAAGAGAAATATTTTTGTTTTTCTACAGATTTATCATATGTTAATTTTCATAACGGAACACTATAAAATTATATCAAATGATGTTTAGGATAATTCATTGATACTTGAAAACTTAGTAGGGAAGAATAAGTTCAAATCATGTAGATTAAATTTTCACATCAATTAAGCATATAACACATAGTCCCCTAATAAAGTATGAACAAATCTCATCACTTAAATTAACTTTTAGATTTAATAAACTATACTTTTTAAAATTATTTTTGAATATGAAATTTCTAGATTGAAATCGCCTTCAAATAGTGTGGATAGATGAAAACTTTTTAATTTTAATTTATAATTGCTTTAACAGTATGGTTAAATACGAAAATCTTGTAAATATTTACCGATATTTCTTTTTGTTTCTCTATTATTTAAAAGTTAAGTTTACTTTCTCTGTGTAAACTTAATGGGAAAAAGAACGTTACAAATGAGTATTTGCATGCACTACTCCCTGCAAAAGTAATCTAATCATGAAAAATTTAAAGGAGTGTTATGGTTATGGGAATGTGGGGTCTACGTGTATCAATGACACTTTGCATTTAAGAATTACAAATAATGTAGGAATTTTTTTGAAATGACATATATATCCTTGGTCGACCATCTTTCCTTTTCTATATAATAGAAATCTGAAAAAATCGTTCACATGATATTTGTTGCTACAGTAGCAAGAACCTCTTGGCCAAGTGATAAAGTTAAAATTTAAACCAGAAGCAAACAGTGAAAATACCAATCAGACACCAGCCTACGTAGAAAATTTCATCAGACATACCAATGAAGGACCATATGAATATATTGATCTAAAATCTAAGTTGAAATGCATTCGTCAAAGGTCATACATTGCCTCTTCAATACAACGCATATTCCACTGTCTTAGATCCGATATGAAGTTACTGAGTTAGTGAATTGTGTAATAGAAGATTATCCTTTATTCTCCGGTAGGAAATAAATAATCATATCTCCCCGTTATGTCTACCATGTTGCAATATTTGTAATATCTTTTCTCTACTTAGTTATAGAGTAAGTATGCCAACATAAAATTTTTTTCTGTATATTCCAAATAGGCTGGAATTTTCTTGATATGATTCATTTTTTTAAAAAAGAAAAACAAAATACCTTGCAAATTTTCAGCTTTTCGAAAACTAATTGGCAAAATAATACGAAATAAAATTTAAATGGAGACTACTGAATACGAAATAAGGATCAAGAAATTTTATAACAATAAAATGATTCAAAGTAAGTCTAGATTTTGTTTCTTAACCTTGACTATCAATGCTTGGAGGTAGTATGATAAGATTGTCCTGGATTTCTTCTGAAAGATTAGTTACCTAGCTGGAGGTAGTTTTATTTAAATCGTTTAAATTGCAGATGTCGACAGACAATAAAACCAAAGCGCCAACTAGCTGTCCACCAAAAAAGAAGTGCCGGTACTCAGCAGAAACAATGTCTAAAACCAAGCTTAGGAGACATGACCTGTACAAACAATAACCAGTTGATAAAAAAGAGTCGCTTCTATCACAGCGATGATTAAAAGAACTTGAAGCAAAAAAAAAAAAAAAAACAGCACGTATTGATTGATTACACTGAAGAAGAGTCATTGTTCCAAGCTGGGGCGAACTTGCGTTGGCAAAGAACTCTCACGATACACGAACCATCTTCTGTTGGTAACGAAGGTACGAAATGAAAAGAAGGTATAGTTCTTACATGAAAATATGTGTTGCTTTGATGATAGTGTTTACATATTATTTTCTAATGCTAAATGTGTTTTGCTTCCTCTATTAGTTGATATATCTGCATTTGACGGGGCAGCAATCGATTCTGACAAAGAAAAGAATGTTACTGACTATTTGTCTGTGTTTGAACTTGGTAAGTAACAGAAAGTATATTGTTTCACTTTATATTTATTGTACTTTAATATATTAATTAAAATTTTTTGTACATTAGGTTCGACATCTGGTGTACCTTGCGAGGGACACGATGCAGAGCCGTCGGCCGTTAAAATAAAGGTTTTCCTCAATTTTGATCTTATATAGACATTCATTTCTACTCTCTTCACAGGAATAATATTATATGTTAGTTATCTTAAATGTGTCTATAAGCTAAAAATACATAAATACTTTGTGCTCTTTCCTGATCAGTTCTGTACCTACTCAGGCTTCATTGTACGGTTTTAAACATCTTGACAATTTTGTTTGCCAGCTGCCAGCCTCGAAGCTCATGTACCTAAATTGCGGGTTAATTTAAAAAAAGGGAAGAGTATATGTGATGCTCCTACCATTCATGAAACAGGTAAACTTAAGCCTTTATATTATACTTTGTTGCCAGTGGCATGTTAACGGTATATTACTGTAAACCATGAGTGTCTACGCATACCTCATGTTACAATAATATCTACCATACATGTTCCTTAGTGATCCAATTTTTCCCCTAATGATACTTTTACATATTCAGCTAATAACCGGACCAGAAAGGTATGCCTGGCTACTAAAGAGCAACAATGTGACTATGTTGCTCTAAAAAAGGTTCCGAACTGCCAGTACTGTGGTGCCAAAAAATTTGAGTATGAGCCTCCAGGATTTTGTTGTAGCAACGCTTCGGTTAAGTTGACATCACATGAAATGCCTGCTGAACTATATACTGAAGAATTTGAGCACTTTCGTACTTACTTTAGAATGTACAATAACATCTTTGCGTCTGCTTTACTTGGAGTGAACTATGACAAGGCGCTAGCAAAAGGAAACCATGGTATTTACACATTTAGAGTATAAGGATAAATGTATCACTACATAAATGATTTAATTCCACCAAATCGACAGCCAAGAAATTTACAACTGTATTTTTATGATGATAATACTAAAATGTTGAATCGAATGACTTCCTCAGGTATACTTAGACAATCAGTTGTTGAGAAGTTAATGGATATGCTAAAGATAAATCCCTACTGTATTTTTTTGAAATCTCTAATACATATTCCAGAATAATCAAACTTTTATATTGCATTGAGGAGTGGTTCTGGATTAGATCAACGAATATATAACCTACCAACCGTGTAGGACGTAACGGCATTATGGCTAGAACAAGAAACAAACAATAACACTTCTGGACCTCATATTCGAATTTACACTCAAAGTAACAAGAGCCAGCTGGTAAATTACTATTACGGTTGCTATGACCCTTTGCAGTATCCGCTTTTACTACCTTACGGTCAAAACGGATGGCATTCTGGTATTCAAAAGGTTGCACAACCTGGGAATAAATTGAGAAACAAGAGAGCTTACTACGAAAAATAACAACTTCCAACTTTATTTAATATGTGTTCAATTGATGGAATACTTGATATGGAAGCTGAAGTTCTGGAAAAGGGAAAATGAAAAAGGGATACTGTTTCTTGTCGGGAATATTATTGTTACAAACTTCAAATGAGAGATAATGAAGAGAAAGAAGTTTTACACTCTGGCAGATTGTTTCAACAATACTCAGTTGATGAGTTCATAAAAGTAGAAACTCAGAGGTCAGATTTTGCCTCATTTAACCAAGATTTATTTCGGATTGATGTAACAAGGAATTCTTGATATCCTACGGCTTGGTGAAAGAGAATCTTCTAAGATAGGAAAACAGAACTTTCTATCGACAAGTTTTACAGGTGGTCCGAGAGATATGCGTCAGGTTATATGGATTGTCATGCCCCAACCTCGGGAGGCGCGACTGGCGCTCAATCGAGTGACCCTAACTGAGCAAGCCTTACCAAACACTACCTACCGAACTCAATACGCATACGGGGACCATGCTTTCATTCATTCAACAATGGAAGATAGTATATTCGACATTTTTAGTTCATTTTAGATCATAACATTAAACTGTAGATAAGTTAGTTTCCAAAGTTCCCATAGAGTTATAATTCATAGGCAACATAAGTATAGAATTACAACATAGCTCGCACACCCATCCGACACCCACATCTGACCCACATGTATGTCTACGGAGCCTCTAAGGAAACAAAAGATAAATGTGACAACGCCGGCAACAAGGCCCCGGCTATACCTCAAAAGTGAAAGTCCAAAAAGGCAAGAGATGTGCAATGTAGCCCCTTGAAGGAGAAAGGGGCTCACCAAGATCTTTGAGAAGGAGAATGCTCCACTACACACGATCAACACTATCTGCTACGGAGCCACCTACATTCATTAAAAAAAATATAGCGTCCCCGGCAAAAGGGACGTTAGTACCATAGAATAGTACTAGTATGTATAACTTAACACCATTTTACTAGAAAGAACTACCGAGCAATGACAAGTAAATCACATAGGTGGATCAAATATGCAAGTCATAGAATCATTCACATAATTCCCATAACTTAGTTTGGGGGCATTTCTTTCACACGTTCATCACTGTTCTCGATACCACCGCTATCCTGAGGGAAGTCCGATCACGACCCGACCGGCTAGGTTGCCTCATTGGAGGCATATATCTCAATCACTATTTCATTTCCCTTATCCGGAGTTCAATATCAGCACATCACCACCATGTGCGCGGCATGGTGTTCGATCACGGCCCGATAGGCGTGGTTTCTTTCTCATTAATCATCTCACTTGAATCAATTATCTTTCATGTATCAATTCAATTCATGGGCACTTTGGTCCACACTTATCTCATCATTTTCCTTTTTCAATATTCACCTTGCAAGTTATGATCATAGGCACATACGAAAATAATTCAAGTTGCAAGCACATGTAAGTGTTCACACGATTAGCATGGAAATTCTCAGTTTTGATCTTTGGCTTATAGCCCACGCATTTCAACACATGATTGCATACTTCATACTTCATTAAATATCAAGAATAGTACATTACTCACGTTTGGGGCACATCTTTCATGTATATGTGCATATAAATTGCAAATCAATCAATGTGAAACAATAATCAGTACACCAACCAATTCAAATCTCACCACACCTTCGTAAACGCCAACGGAGCTCAATTTCTAATAAAAGGAGGTTTTAGCCATACATACCTCAATATAGCTTTCCTTACTCTTTACAAATTCCGGAATTCTTATCACTTCGATCTATGATGCAAGAATTACAAATTAAACCGAAAATTAGAGACGAGGTTGAGATTCTAGCTTGGTTCAAGCATAATATCGAACACTTTGAGGTGCATTATGATCTTAGGCCCCCTTTGAGAGGAATTTCTATCATTCTATACCCCCAATTGCCATCTTTTTAATTTACTACTTTCCAATGCTATGGTGTGGTATGCATGCAAGAGATTCATTTTTATACCCATGAATTACTTCCCTAAGGACCCCATATAGCTAAGTATACAAATATGAGCTGAGGTGATGGAGCCTTACCTCTTGGGATGAAGATTTAGGAGCCTTCACTTGATTAGCTTCAAGGATTTAGCAAGATTCTATGGAGTAATTTGATAGGGAGAACTTTCTCTCACTTAGACCCCTCTCCCTCACTCTAGAAATGTCCAGAAAATGCTCAAAACGAGCTATAATACCCAATATAACGATAGGGGCGTTGGGTTAAAAATTAGAAAATTGGAGCCCCGAGTCGAATCTGCGGTCGCATTTGCAATCGCAAAGTGGAAATGCGGGCCGCATATTGGACCGCAAAAAGGCTCCCAAAACCTGAACATTCTGTTTGGGTATGCGACGGAAATGTGGTCCGCAAACCCGTTATGAGGTCGCATAATGCACCGCAGAGCTGACCTTCACAAAATCCCAAGGAATTTATGCGACGATTATGCGGTCCGCATATCGGTTGTGCGATCGCATAATGGACCGCATTCTTAACCTCAAATTAGCTAACCCACTGACTCACTTTGCGGCAGATTTGCGGTCCGCATACCTGGTATGAGACCGCATTCTGGACCGCATTTTTGCACCCTTCCGGAAAGCTTTGGTTTTTGATTTTTAAATGCATAGATCAGCTCTAAGGGTCCGAACTTGGCACTACGAGATTCCAATAATTGATCCTAACTTGGCACTACGAGATTCGGGTTTTGAGTAGAAAAAAATTCACGGGGCCTTACATGGATGCTATTGCGTTAGTGCAACACTTTGGAAAACCTGATATATTTTTGACCATGACATGCAATCCCGCTTGGCCAGAAATAAAAGAGCATTTTCTCGCAATAGACGAAACTCAAAATAGGCTCGATTTAGTTAGTCGAGTATTTAGAGCGAAGGTAAAAGAGATGAAAACAGATATTTTAAAAACAAACATATTTGGAAAAGTTTCAGCTTTTATGTACACTATAGAATTTCAAAAACGAGGTCTTCCACATGCTCATTTTCTTATTATACTTACTGATGACAATAAATTATTGACACCTGAAGCTTATGACAAGTTTGTCTCTGCTGACCTACCTGATCCTGATGCAAACTCTTGCTTACATAAGCTTGTTATTAAACATATGATGCATGAGCCTTGTGGTTATTTGAATCCTACAAATTCTAGTATGAATAAAAAAAAGAGAATGCAAATTTAAGTATCCAAAGAGTTTTCCGACGATACAAGAAAAGGAAAGGACTTATACCCAATTTATATAAGACGTAACACTGGCAAATCTGTGAAAGTAAGGGAGCAATATCTTGACAACTCCTGGTGTAACGACGCAACTGGTCGTTTCGCCTTTTAGAACCCCGTTCCCTTAAATAAAACTTCCCGCGCTTGCCTTAGCTAATTTACGACTTGCGGGGGTGGTTGGTTCGGGATTTGGAAGAGTTTGGATTGAAATATGCACATTTGACTCCTTAGGATTTTCTTAAAAGGCTAAGTTTGACTTCGGTCAACATTTTGAGCAAACGGACCCGGATTCGCGATTTGACGGTCCCGGAGGGTCCGTAGGAAAATATGGGACCTGGGCGTATGCCCGGAATCGAATTTCGAGGCCCCTAGCCCGAGTAATGAATTTTATTAGAAATTGTTAATCTGAAATATTAAGGATTTAAAGAAAACTAATTAATGATTGATTTCATGGGTATTAGGCTCGTATCTTGGTTCCGAAGTCCGGTACAGGTCCGGCATAACATTTAAGCATTTCCCGTAAAATTTGGTGTCAATCCGAGTAGTTTAAGGGCGTTTTGTCCCGTTAGAGGAAAATTAAGAACTTGAAGTTCATAAGTTTGATTCAATTGGTTTTAGGGGGTGATTCTTAGATTTAGCGTTATTTCAGGCGTTCCGAAGGTTCGAGTAGGTCCGTTTCGTGATTTTATACTTGTCGGTATGTTCGGGCGGGGCCCGGGAGCCCCGAGTGTCAATCGGACGAGGCTCGAGTGAAGTTGAAATTTTTGAGAAGTGCTGAAGCTGCTGCTTCTGTCATAACCGCACCTGCGATTGGTGGACCGCAGGTGCGAGACCGCAGAAGCGGTCCTCCCACCATAGATGCGGCCTAGGGCAGGCCAGGCCAGGAACTGCAAAAGCGGCTCCCAAGTCGTAGAAGCTGCTTCAAGACCGCAGAAGCGGTCCCAGCCCGCTTGACTCCTTTTCGCAGATGCGGTTTCTTCCTCGCAGAAGCGGGACCGCAGATGCGGTCCCCTGACTGTAGATGCGGAAATCACTGAGGCAGTGAGTTCATTTATTACGGGTTCTAAGTCCATTTTTGCCATATTTCACTCCTCCATTGGGCGATTTTAGAGCTTTGAGAGAAGACCTTCACCTAGCATGTTGAGGTAAGTATGTTCTACCTATCTCTAGTTTAATATTTATGTTTTAGGTAGATTAAGCACTAGTATTAAGGTGAAATCATGGGGTTAGAGCAAAAGCCTAGGGTTTTGACAAGAGTTGAATTTGACCACAAAATTTGTTAGGAAATGAACTAGAAATCATATATTATTGATCCTTGGGTTATGAAAAACAAATTCCCTTGAAAAATCTCGGAATCCGGGCACGTGGTC